AAAGCTGAAGCGTGCTAACGTTTTCAATAAATTTCATGGAAATGGTAAAAACTTTCGATTAATTGAATGAAAATTGTTTGTAATCCTATAGCAAAGCTTAAGATCTATAAAGTTACTATAAATATACAATGTTTACTCGCCTCGGTTATTGTTGATTGATTAAAATTCATATATGGTCGACCACATAGACCAGGGCTTTTTTATGGCTACTGGAATTCAATATTCCATTATCATATGACGATAAGAGCTCTAGACTCTCCGACTTTGAATCACTCAAGTATTTTATGCTTTAGCCTCAGACAATGTCATTAAGATAAGCATATAGGCACATAATATAGACATTATAGTCGGGACTGTATGCCTTTGGGGAAGTTAGATTATATTTACAGGGTATCTCTCAGTTGACTACTCATTTGCTAAATGTCTCTGCTAGGTACTCAGTTAAGTTACTCCACTTGGAATAGCCGGTTAGTGATATACAGCTTATAGGGTATCTTTAAGTCGGTCGGTGTAGTACATAGCAGAAGAGTCAGTATTGCTTATAGGGTATGTTCTAGTTGCTCACTTTGTGGGTAACTGTATCTCAATTGCCGTTAATCTCATTAGCGTTTGATTATAAAACAGATTACAGAAAATAAAATTGAATGAGCAGTAGTAATTAGGCTATAGCTGATGATCTTTGCTTATCTTTAGTTGATCACTCTTAAAAAATAAAATTTAATGCCTTAATTGCCATCACGTTTGGGTAATAGAGACAAAAGCTAAGCCGTGCAATATTTATGCTGAATAATCTTGGCTGCTTACAGGGTATCTTTGAGCTGATCATTGCCTTGCTATGGATACAATTTGCAAGTGCAATTGACACACTTTCTTTTCCTGTGTGTCTGCATAAGTAATTATGAATGAATGTATGTCAATTGTTTATGATTCCAGAGCGCCAGCTTCAAAACTAATAATAATAATAATGGTTACTATTATAATAGTAATAATAATAGTAATAGTAATGGTTATAGTAATAATGGCAACAATTACACCAGCCACCAAAGGCAACAAACATCGCACTTTGACTTTAAAGCTGTTGCATTTTACTAGGTCAAAAGCAACGTCACCGTGAGCAAAGGTTGCGACTGAATCGCAAGACTAAGAGAGGAGAGAGAGAGAGTAAGGGAAGGGGAATGTGTTTGTGTATATATATATGTGAGTGTGTGTGTTGCGGTGTCAAACATAAATATGGCGTAAAGGTGAAACTGTTGCTGCTCCTTGCTGCCTGTGGGGCATAAATCGGTGCTTGGGTGTGTGCTGGTGTATATGTGTGTGTGTGTGTGTGTGTGAGTGTGTGTGGCAGTATTGCGCGCTAAATTTCACACAAGCATAAGCACACACACGCACACACTGAGCAAGGGAGCACGAGGGGCGAGAGAGAGGGAGTGAGAGTGAGAGAGCGAGGGAAGCATATGCACGCGACCAAATAGCAAAACCATTTCTAATTGGAGGTCGTCCTGGTTGTTGTCTTTGCTGCCTTTCAGCCAAGTTTGTTGTTGCTGCTGTTGGCTGCAGCTTATGTTGGCAATGGCTTAGTGCAAGGAGCGCAATCATTTTTCCTATAATATTTGCCGAGCTACTAGCGAAATGCTGGTGGGGGCGGGAGTGCGGTGGGCTGCGGTGCAGTGGGCTGTAGTGCAGCATGTCTATTCAGATGTTGTTTGTAAGCGTTTCTTAATAGCGAAATGAGCAAAAGGCCAACGGAGCCTAGGTAAACGTTTAAGAAAATGATACAGAAATAGATGTGGGTAAAGAAATTAGGTGAAAGCAATTGCGATGGGATGCAAGAGAGAACGAAAGAGAGAAATAGAGAGAGAGAACGAGAGAGAGAGAGAGAACGAAAGAGAGAGACGAGAGACAGAGAGATGCGAGAGAGAGAGAGAGAGAGAAAGAGAAAGAGAAAGAGAAAGAGAAAGAGAAAGAGAAAGAGAAAGAGAAAGAGAAAGAGAAAGAGAAAGAGAAAGAGAAAGAGAAAGAGAAAGAGAAAGAGAAAGAGAAAGAGAAAGAGAAAGAGATTCAATAGAAAGAGAGAAAAAGAGATAGTGAGAGAGACGAGAGAGAGAGAGAGAGAGAGATAAGTGAGAGATAGAGAGAGGATAGAAAGATGCAAACTTGGAGAGATTAGAAGAGAAGAGAGAGAAAGAGATTCAATAGGAAGACTCAGAGGGATTGAGAGGCAGATGGATATACCAATAGATACATAAGAAACGACAGAAAGGGAGAAAGAGGCGATACATAGAGATATAGATAGACAGAAGGGATTGTGGCAGGGACAGAGATTGATACACAATGAATACGAGAGAGGGTATGTCTACAGTCGTGACTACTCTTACCGCTCTTGAAAATTGTTTGTGTTGTCGGCTTCAATTTAATCGCTGAGCTTGCGTCGACGAAACATTTTCATTTCACTTGCCTTGTACTTTATGGGCGGGGCAAAGCCAGCCACAGAGGCAGGTGCAGCTCCCGGTGGAGATGCAAGGACAGATGGTGTTGCCATTGGTCAGCTTCTGGCTTAGGCACGTGCGGCAACCCAAATGATCGACAATCTGTGGCATGATTGATGATTGATGATTGATTTTGCAACACTGCATTACAACTAAATACAGTAGCTAAACTGAAAAGCAAATTTAGCAACTTAAGCTAGTAAATTATGTAATATATATCTGTAGAGCTTATGTAGTAATATAGATGTAATCAGTTCCTTTCTAGCTTGTTGGATTGCTAACTTTTTTATGGGGAAAATCGTTTCATATTTGAATAACAATTCTTTTTCTATAGATCTCCTACAAGTTGTACATATGTCTGCAGATATGTATATACGTGTATCTGCAGAGTATTTCCAACTCATATAACTCTTCGTTTCAGTATTGTTTCATGCCGCTTTTAGTTTGTGGCATCGGGTTTCAATTAAAACGCATATGCACTCATGTAAAATTCAATAATTTCCGCCAACTGATTCAATTAAATCGCCATTTAAGTTGGAAGCTTTTCCAGCGACAATCAAAAAGTGCGCGCTGGGCAGTAAATCGAGGCGCCTCGAGCCCCTCCCTCCCATTATTCCCCTGAGGCGTGGCACTTGCAATATTTTATCCTGTATTACACTGCGCAGCGCCTGTAGCGCGTGCAGCTCTTTAGCGTTTACTCAAAGGAATCTTCTTTTGGTTTCGTGCTCAAGACCAAAAGGTCACTCGACATCAACTGCAGTCGACGCGAAAGAAAATCCGAAATTAATATTAAGAAAAATTACGTTTTAAGCCCACGCAGCGATTGTGTAAATGGAAAAAGGATATCAGAAACTGGTAGTAACTAGCCTGCAGCTTGATGCTGCAAATGCACTGAGCGTGGGTAAGACATAGCCGACTAGAGAATACACTACAACACATAATTCCAATTAGATATAGGCAAATATGGCCTTATGTCAGGCTCAAATATTAAGACTGATAAGTGTTTCCTTTCTTATCGTTAGCTTCAAGTTCCCTTCAACGAAGCTAATTTGAATATCGATTCTTATCGATTCTTTCTTCTCTAGTTCTTGTAGTGACTAAGAGCTCAGTATATGCATGCAGACAAGCAGACGAAGCTCGAAGTATTGTATACAATGTATATCGCTTTCGCTCTCTATCTGAGATATCTCTCTCTCTCTCTTTCTATTTGAGATCTCTCTCTCTCTCTCTCTCTCTCTCTCGTTCTATTTGAGATCGTATTGTGATCATATATTAAGTAGACTATTGCTATTGCTACTTCTTTTCATCTGATGTATGTATGTATATCTCTCTCTGTCTCTCTCGTATCACACTTTTTTCTTGCTCCTCTGCATCTCTTTCTCTTATTCTTTTTCTATTTTCTGCCCCTTTTTCAGTCTTTTCTCTTTCACTCTATCTATCTTTTTTTCTCTTTATCTCTCTCTTACATTCCTCCTCTTTTGTCTCTACTTTTCCTTTCACTGTTTCTCTGTTTCTCCCCCTAGCTCACTCCCCATCTCGTTATCTTTGTCTTTTTCTTTCTCTTTCTCTTTCCCTTTCCCTTTCTTTCTGTTTTATCTCTTCCTCTCACTTTCTCTTTTTTCTCTTTCCCGTTTCCTTATATCTCACCACTCTTCTCTAAATCTCAGTTTTCCTACTCTCATTCTTACTCTCTCTCTTTCTCTCCTTTTCTCTCTTTCTCTCATTCTCTCTCTCTATTTCCCCCTCTTTCTTCTATTTCTCACTCTAATCTACCTCTTAAAGTCTGCTTAATGGCATCGCCATCTGTCGTCGTCCACCTGTTACATACTCTTCAAACAATTGAGTCTACCTCTACTTTCGATGGGGGTGCATAGTGTATTAGCTTGTGTAATCCGAACTTCCTTTGTTTAGTGCTGCCTTTATCTTCAAAAACAGTTTGTAATCTTAGAAATGGTTATTTGCTTAATTTGAAAAAAGAAAATAGAGCGCTTAAGTGGGCGAGTGGGTGAGTGAGTGCGCCTGAAGGAGATGTTAAATATTAGTCCAGGTTTCAAGTTTTTCAATGGAGAATTAAAAGAGCTTTGATTGAAATTTGTGATTCTGGCTTTAATGGTTTGTTGTTGTTATTCAGGGTTGTTGTTGTTAATATTATTTGTTTATATTTTTTTTTTGGCAATGCTATTGTTTTAATATTTCTTGTTGCCAAATGCTACAATAGAATCTGTGGATACGACCTTACGCGAATACATAGTGCGGGTAAAAGTGCAATTTATTTGGTAAGAGTAGTGACGAAGGTAGGAGAGAAATCACGGCAAAACTATCCAGGGCAAGTTGGATATGCATATATATATACATATACACATATATGCATACATATATATATATATATCTATAGATATGCATATATATATATAAATATATATATATGTGCAGAAATATGGATATAGAAAAGATATAGGTATAGATATATATACATATATATGTATATATATATATAGAAATACGTATATCTGTCTAGGCATACTTGGCGAATTTGAGTTTGGTCGATACGGCATCGCTATAGATGGGCTCAACAGGCTGGCGATGTATCATAAAACTATTGTAATCGACACGGGCATTCGCATCGGTATCGCTATGCAGCCAGCGGACAAATCGATGCATTTGCTTAAGAAATGCCACCTTGCCCTTATCGATATGATCGACCTCATACCAGCGCACAATGGCATCCTCATTGAGGACACCGGCCCGATACAGGTGGACGGCCAGCCGTTCGAATGACTTGAATAGCGAATGATGCTCGTAGCACCATTCCTGCAGGCGCATCAGCAACGCTATCTGAGCGCTATCCGTGCTGCAGAGGGCATTCAGCAGTGGTGCATAGATTTGTAGTTTACGCAGCGCCTGCTCCGGCGACGCACTGCTATGGGTTTTCATATTAGCGTTCGTTTCGTTGATTGTCTGCCAGACAATGCCGATGATTTCCGAATCGGACATATGCCGTTCCCGTTGAAATTGCCGCACATTCATTACAATCTCCAGTTGGGGCAGCTTTTCGCGAAAATCATCGAGCAAACGCTGCTTCAATTGTTGCCGCAACGCCAGGCCGGCGCGCTCCTCATGCAGCTCGATCACCTCATTTAAATCGCTCTCCTGATACACCTGCCGGAAATACAAATCGCTGCGCAGCATTGGCGGCATAAAGCTGATGATTTTGTGCTCCAGCCCGGACTTCTTGAGCACTTGCAGCATGAAACTGGAGCCCCGCTCACTTTTCAGTGCGCCGCAGATGAGCAGCATAAACTCCATGGCCAGGCCGTCGTCGATGTTCGCCTGGTCCGTGCCCAGCTCCAGCAGCGAACGTGGATTCAATTGGCCGTCGATCAAGTACAATGCCATCAGCAGGGCGAGACGTCGCCGGGCGCCCATATCAAACTTCGCCAGCTGGCGGATATATCGCTGGGCATGCTCCTCGAAGACCGCGTCCAGGTGCTTGTGGCGTCGCCTCAAACGCATCACCAGCTGCTCATAGATGCGCAGCGCGTTCAGTTCGTCGTGGGTCTTGAACACGCAGTAGCTCGTCCTCAGCTTCAGATCGCCGCGTGTTGACAATTTCCCATCGGCTGCAAGCAGGCCGCCCGTGTAGAGCACATCGAACAGCTGCTCGCCGTAGTTTTGGTATTCCGGCTTGCTCACAATAGGGTCGAGCGCCTTCCAAGTGGCTTCCAGTTTGCCTTTGGCTCGATCCAGTGCCTCGACCAGCTCGTTGCGATAGCTCAAGCATTCGTTATCCTTTTCCTTCTTCACGCGATTGCCTGTCTTCAGACGAAAGCAGGGCAATATATATTTCGATGCCATCTCACTCTTTCTGTCTCTTTCAGTGTCCTCTTTTCTCTCTCACTCTTCTCTCGTTCGCTTGCACAATTATCTCTTACTTTCGCTCCGCGTACCTTTTCTTTGATCTGTCGCTTGTGCCGCTTAAATGATTCTTTTTGTTCTGTCTGTTATCTATAGTCATATCAAAGAAATCATCCGAAAGTCGTGTCTATCTTGGCTCAAATGAAATTTCACGGGTTTCTTGGGGTTGGGGTCGAGTTGTATTTTCTGTACTGTTGTTTGGTTTCTACTGTTTTGGTTTGGATTTGGAGAAATCAGCGAAAACTGATTTTTTTTTGGTTTTTTTTTTTTTTTTTTTCTACATTAATTTGAAATCTTGCACAAACTAAAAAAAATTATGATTTAGCATAGAACCTTTTTCCCAGCCTGCTACGAAGCTCACAAATCGATGCTGTTTACAAATTTTTTATTTTTTTTCTACAATCTGAACCCAAGGGAGAAGGAAAGAAGTGAGAGCGCAAGGACATTGAGAGGATCTAAAAATATGTTGGTTCAATAGAGTATATTTAATGTAGAAACAATTTAAGATTAATTGTTAACTGTTATTAAACAGTAGGTAAATCAGTCAATCGATCAATCAGGCGATACAAATATAGCTGCATGCTCCCTACAGCAGCTCGGTTTCCTCTTAGTTGAACTCCGATTGATTATCCTTTTTGTATGTATTTTTTTTTTCCTATCACTACTTATCAATTGTCAATCAGTTACCCAGTCAATCAATTGCTTTATAATTAGATAAATGAAGTTTCGAAATTGATTGATGTGTTCATCTGATCGGCAATAATAGTTCGATCAGTCTGGATATTTAAATTTGATCGTCAATCAAAAGCTCAATCAATCAATCTAGCAGGGGGGTAAATACAGACAAAGCTTTTATTGGCTGCTCCTTCTGCTTCCGCGTATGTTTCTCATGCTAGTAATTATGCTCTTCCTCATTCTCACACTCTTTTTGCATCTCTTTCTTCCACTTCCTCTTCCTCTTTCTATTCATTGTTAAGCCCCTTTCTATTGATAAATATGCTAGCCGTCATTTTGTTTGTTTAGGTGAAGTTACTCTCATATTTCATTTGTCATATCATGCATAACATAGTGTATGCGGGTGTCTCTGTCCTCTCTCTCTCTCTCTCTGCCTCTCTCTCTGTCGGTGTTGTAAAGTAGACATGATGAAATGGCCGCTTAGACGCTGTCAGCAGCGCAAAGGCAAATACCAAACACACATACCAAGCTTGCCTATATATCTGTGTGTGTGTGTGTGTGTGTGTGTGTGTCTGTGTGAGTGACAACATTGTTGTCATGTAGATGTCTTTATTCGCTATTCTACTTTGGCTTGGCATCTAATGCCAGCTAGCTTTAGTCTGCGCGCTGCTGGATGCCCTCAAGGCATTTCGCTTCCTGCCCCACGCACTTCCCAACATTCATTTATATCAATCAGATGTAAATAGCTGAGCAACAGAGACAGAAACACAATGCTGGAGTTAGAGAGCGAGAGAGAGAGAGCATGTGTGTGTGTATGCGTGTGTGTGTGTGTGTGTGCATTGAATGGAAATTCCTCTTGCATATTGAGCTAGCGATTTATGTTAAATCAACATCGAGCCAATTGACCAACTAATTGAGCTATATGCGATTACGTGGCATCTGAAATTGATTTGCTCTCAATATGATTTATCAGCTTATGTTGTTTTTATTTGCAGAAATAGTAATTACGATGCCTTTGGCATTTGCCAACACTCTGCTCGCAATTAACGGCTCTTATGCTTAATACTGACGTAGACAGAGATATTTGCTAAATTGCAGCTCAGTTCACTGAGTCATTTCCAACGCCAAGTGGGGCCAATTGAGACTGCTTGGCATTGTACAGCACTATTGTTGACCATACGGTACTCAACAACATAGAATTATACAACACTGGCTATTCGATTTTCATATTATCATTGCCCAACTCAACTTTAATTAGTATGGACGAAACTTTTTCAAAAGTATATTCCGATTTAAATTGATGTTTTTTTTTATCGTTACGCTTTGATTGATCCAACAAATTCCGCTTAGAGATAAGACATATGTACGTGCATTTTTATACCCTAGAATCCATTGGAAATTTGTAAAAGCTTGGAATATTGGTTGCCTTCAAGCGTATGAGGGGCAGTTGAATAGATTAAGCATATATCTTCGGGATCCAGGCTTATAGCTGAGGCAATCTAGTCTTGTCTATCTGTCTGTTCAGAAGATCTATAGACCTCTACAAAGCATGCATAAGACTATATTTAAGTGTATCCATACCTCTCTCCATTTCCACGAAGTCGCACTAAACTATATTAGTATTATATTTTAATGTAAAATGGAAGTTTATGAAAATCTATATAATTTTCAAGTTCATAAATAAGGTCATAAATATTTATCGATTTAAGGAGTATTCATAAATCGTTCATTTACAGAACGAAGTTACAGAAGTTTCTGTATTTTGATTTTCTTTGTTTTTCGACTTTAATTTTGTATTATATACATGCTATGATAAGAGCTTTGATGAAGTGTTTGGTAGACGGAGACACTTATTGATGGGGCAACACCTTGATAGAAGCTCAAGTGTTTGATTTGTTGCGCTTTGCCCCAATTATGAAAAAAAAAAAACAACAATAAATAAATTCACATTGTGCGATGATCGATGAACGATTGATTGATTGAATGCGAAGTGTGCGTGAATGATTGATTGATTTATAGATAATTAGATTTTTATATATAGTTGAGTCAGATGTTGATCTTTGCCTTAAACTAGTTCAATCAATTAATTCGATTCTAGATGAACCTAATTTTAACCAAATGTTCATTATATATATTTTATATTATATATATTTCGTTTATTTTTCCGCCTCTCTCTCTTGACCCGCTTGACCCTTTTCGTTGTAAAAACCAGTTTATAAATAAGAATTTAAATGGAACTTGTTAATGCGCCCACTTGAAGTACTTGAAACAGTTGCTGCTGTACAGCAGCCATAGACCAGCTCTCTATGCTGTAGCATCCTTTTCTTTTTCTTTTTTTTTTTTTTCGTTTTTCGCTCCCCCTAAACTCTAGCTCGGCTTACAGTTTTGTGTCCGTTTTATTGACATTGGAGGCGGCAGCAGCTCAAATATTTAGATAAGCCGTAAGGTGTCGTTCCCGAAACATATAAAAAACAAGCAAGAAAGCTCTAGTCGAGGCTGCTCGACTATGAGATACCCTAAGCCGTAATACTTTAAAAATTCTTGGCTTCTTCTTGAATTGTTCACGGAATCAGTTCACTGGTTCATATAGCTGTGATGGAATTTTCGATTCACTAAATGAGCTCAATAGTTTTCATGCTAACTTATACATTAGATATTACAGTATCCATTTGTTATATGACATTTGCTTAGGTCCATATGCCGTTCTGTCAACAATTCTCATTACAGGGTATCCAAACGTCAACAACAACAATTACGCCAGGTAGTTGGGAGTATTCTATATAGATACTCACACAGACACGCAAAACCATTGACACATGTACCCGTACACACACACACACACACACACATACATAGCACACACACTCACGTCCGTTGGCTTGGGCTAAAAATTAGGCTGGATCCGGTTGCAACCGCCGTTGTCATGTAAACGTTTCCATAATCCAAATGAAACGCTTGAAGATGTAACTAGAGCGCGATTTTTCATGACACGCCCACTCGCAAGACCGAGCACGCCCACCACCCACCACCCACCACCCAGCGCCCATCGTCCGCCGCCCCGTTCCGCCGTCCGTGGACAAGCGCAGTTGTTAGATTTTTGTTTTTATGATATTCCTCTTCTATTTCATGAATTTCTTTTTCTGCTTCTGTTTTTCTGTTTTTGTTTTTCGTGGGTTTTTTGGTGTTTTTTTTTTTTTTTTTTTTTTTGTGTGGGGGGTGCTGGGCTATGAGACAAAAAAGGATTTTGCTGTCATCTTTAGCCAAATGCCATTTGACATTTATGTTGGCCCCGTCAACCAGTCAGCCACGCCCCCACCCCCACACACCAGCACCCTCCGACCCTTGACCCCTCAGTGCTTTGCCGGTTTTGTCTCGCTGTGATTTGCTTTTTTGTCACATTAAATCTTGTTTATGATGTTTAAGCACTTTAATTCCGCTCGATTAAATTGCCATAATGACAGGCTGCGCAAAAATGTTCATTCCGTTTTTCGCTCTCCATACTTTTTATGCCCGTTCAGGGTGTTGCATGAAGAGTATATTGGTTTTGCAAGTGAAATGTTGTATGAATGTTGTAATCGATCTATATTGATGTTCTATTCATATAGTATATATTGAATCATTTATAGGAAGATCATTTATTATTGCATGTTCACCGAATGCTTGAAAGGAATCGTTCAAGTGAATAACTGAAACCGCGAGGCAATGAGAAGTTTATTGAAATCTCATGAAAGTAGTGGCTAGACGCTGATTAAATGATACTAAAAATATATCAGAAAAAGTAAAAAAAAATGTTGTTTTTTTTTTAATCATTCCCATTTGAAAGTACTTGAAAGTAATCTAAGGTTTGTCAATCCAGAATTACTATATGGATTGCATAATAAATTCTTTTAATTTTAAGCACTTCAAATGTGGCATATATCTAAACTCCTGCCACATCTGTTGCATTTCTATAGCTATATCATTACATATGCATATTCTATTGAGTTCCTCTATGACTCTATGAATAGAGGCAGTTCAGCATCAATTTTTGACTCTAGCTTGAAAACATTTTATAGTTTTCGAAATTGAAAATGGGTTCTGGATAGACCCATTAATATCTCAGTTAGCTGAACGAGTATTCTGTCGCCGACTTTCATGTTTGTCACTTGTTGTGTCTTACCTTTTTTTTTGGCACGCTGAAAAGTAAAGTGGAAAACGCAGAGGCGAATAAGCGGGCAGATAGACAAAAAGCCAAAAAAGCAAAAAAAAAAAAAAAGAAGAAGAAG